CTCCTGCCGAACCTGGACAACCTGCAGTAGCACCTGCAGAACATCTTGGAGTACCAGCACATGCAGCAGCTCCTGCCGAACCTGGACAAGCTGTTCCCAAAGTACCTGCAGTACCAGCGCAAGCACCTGTTGATCCCAAAGCACCTGCAGCAGCTCCTGCCGCACCTGGACAAGCTGTTCCCAAAGTACCTGCAGTACCAGCGCAAGCACCTGTTGGTCCCAAAGCACCTGCAGCAGCTCCTGCCGAACCTGGACAAGCTGTTCCCAAAGTACCTGCAGTACCAGCGCAAGCACCTGTTGATCCCAAAGTACCTGCAGCAGCCCTTCCTGGAACGACTCCGGAACTACCCGCTGTGCCCACAGTACCTGCAGTACCAGCACCTGATGTCGAAGCAGTGATGGCAAGTATGGGAGCAGGCAATGGTGATGGGAGCCCAGAAGGTGCACCGATTCCAGCAGAGCTGGCTTCGCTCATTTCTACATCAGTTCATGGTTCTCCCGCTGGCGCAGTGGAACCTACACCACCTGGACAAGTACCACTTGACCCGAGAGTGAACACGTCCACCAACCGTGCATCGGCTATGCGACTCAACAGGTACATGGAGTCCGCAGAAGGTGCCCGGTTCCCCCACATGCAGAAGCTTTTCCAGGGTGACAGCGCCGACGCTTTCAATCTTAAGGGTGTATTCCAAGGCATTTTTAAGGGATATGAGTTCACACATATAGACATATAATTCTATATATTCATTTGGGCGTATTCGTTTGTAAGATATGCACATACGGGTATCAAATTATGTGTATACTTATTGTAACGCTATATATGTAATTATATATAGGTTTTTCCAAACTGGGATTCGTTGGTTATTTTTTCGCCTTTAATTTTTAGAAACATCAGGACAAGCGAAAGCTTTTGCAAACTTGGGTGGCGGAAGGTGAGAACCGAAATGCCTGTGAATCACGTGTTGTTATCTCCAGGGAGAATGCCAACATCTACCGGGGCCAGAGGGAACTCATTTCAGTCCGGGACATGATTCTGGTGAAAAATGGCCGATGGAAAAGATTCAGGGAATCATCCGAAGAGGCCAAGGGATCCCCGACCAAGACGCCCCTGATGTGCCAAGTCTGACCCAATACTGGGTCTATACGAGCAGGACCCAAACAGAGGAAGATGCTGTCAGGCAACGGTCTGAGACACAGATTGCGGCCCAAACCACTTCGGCGGGTGTGGGAGCCATGATGGCTGCCAATGTTGGCCCAATTCAACCACGTGTGACCATCAACCAAGACCAACTGGCAGCGATTACCGAATCGACGCAGCCATGTGAACCAGAAGGCACGATTTTTCAAACTTTGGGAGGGCGGGGAGGAGGAAGGAAAAAAAAGGTTCCAACGGAGAAAAAACAACTTGTAATTAATGGTTGGTTTTCCAATCCAAGAAATTGTTTGCAACTATATACTGTTTACCCCAGGGTTACCAAACCATGCAGGTAAACTTTGACATCCAATTTACCCATAAAAATACATGTTCATGAACCATATCAACAACTAAAGAACATATATAAATAAATATGTGTACAACTGAGATGCCTGAAATTAAGATAGGATTGCGTATTTACACACATATATACATGTATCATGTACATACATATTGTTATACATAAGCACATGCGCACACACATAAATATATATATATATATTTATATATATAGATATTTGCATGTACATATCCCCTTTTTTGTATTTGTTCAAAATGCAATAATATATATATATATATAGATAGATACGTACGTACATACATACATAATCCTACATACACATACACACACATATTTATATATATATATATATATAAACACATGTTGCCGTGCATGCGGCCAATCAGGCAGGGCACTCGCGAAGTCCAAGGCGAAGGCGAAGGCGAAGGGCGGTGCAAAGTCCTCCGCTCGGCCGAGCTCGCAGGGAGTGACTCCGGTGGAGCCCCAAACCCCTGAGGAGTTGAAGGCATCTCTTGGTGCCTCGCCTATCTGTATATAGATATATTTACACACACATATATATATATACTTGCCTATGGATCATACCAGGAAGGAATATTTATTATCCACATGGTTTGGGGCCCACATATGTACATGCTCAATAACCAAACATATGATCGTTTTTTTGGACTACCAGCGGTGAGGTGCTACCATCAAGAAGGAGCTAGCCACCATGTCACTGGCTTTGGATCTACCAAAAGATCATGGACTCCGTGTTACCATTGCGCAGTACAAGCAGCGGTTTGAGGACTATTCTGATGAGTACCTTTCTTGAAATATATCAACTCTTTGTTTCGGTCCTGCTTGTTTTTTGAAATGCACTCATATTTCTGTCATATGTTTTCGGGAAAAAAATTGACATATCATAAATATGGGGGTACATTTTGAAACATTTTTCGGGGTTGTCTGATGCGAAAACATTCCAGGTTGAAGAGCATGCACACTCCCGAGAACTTAAGCAGCTTGAAGGAGGAGCTGGCTGAGTCTGTTCCTAGACATTCGAACGATTTGGGATAGTCTTCTCATGTAAGAAATTTCCCCCTTGGTAACTTTACCCAGTGGAAACTTATCTGGTTTAACTGGTTTAGAATTAATGTGAAGCTTATCCCATTGGATCGAGCCCCAATGGAGAAGTGCCCCTTAACGAAAAATGAATTGTAAGGGGAAGTCTATCTTTAGCCCCTCCCTTTATAGATCACCAAAAAAAATCAGGTCAACAGCTACCGGATGGTCAAAGCCCAGTGCAAAGCCGTCCTGTCGGAGCTCAAGAAGCAGACGGCCTGAAGCGCGCATTGGATGATGCTAAGATTTTGAGAGCCACATGTTAGATGCAGGGTAGCCAGGGTTGGAAATATCTTTTGCGATCCCCATAGCCTGCAGTCCATGAATAGAAACTGGAAACTATATTGTTGCAGGCATTTTGCAGCTTACCACTTTGTAAAACTGTTTTTTGAAACTGGCTGCGGGAGGGGGTTCATGATTCATGAGCCTTGGTTCATGGGAGCCATCGAACTGGCTTTTTCGTGAGTTAGGCATCATCATTGCACCAGCACCCTTCGATGGAACATGGTCGAAAATAAGTGACTACATTATGGAAGGAGGTTTTTGGGATTCCAAATATATATATATATATATGGTTCCAGATAACATGTAATTTCTGGAAACCAGACATCCCAAAAGACGATAGTAATCCCAAAGTGTTTTTTACAAATTCAAATTTGTGTTTTTACCCTGGAATCTGATATATTAACCACAAGGAATATATGTTAAGCATTCTTTGGCACATCCAGCCAGCATTGAGACCCCCACGCAGGGACATGGACCGATCCACGTCGTGAAGATCAACTTCGCGAATTGCACGATGTGTTCTTTGCCTGGGATGGCAAAGTCTTTGCTCTTGCTTGGCTTCGCAAATTGGCATTTGAAACTGTACTAAAAATGACCAATATAGAGAAGTGTTCTCATTTGGATCCTCATTTTTTACAACATATAGGCATCACCTACTTGAAACTCTTTTCAAGATCGGTTTCATGGTGGTTATATTTGGAGTTCACTAGGGCGCATTGCGTATTTGATCCCAGTAAAACTATTTATATTTAGGCCAGGAAATCCTTCAATGCTGCAGGTTATCAAGTGGCATTGGCTCGGGTGGATCATCGGTGGTCCATGCCCGTAGAGTTGGGGACATATTTGGATCAGAAGTTTATCACATGTATCTCGGTTTCGTTGTGGATGATTTTCTTGTACTTTTGGGAGGTGTCAACCCCTCAAAAACACATTCATATTTTTAACCTGAGATGTTTTTACCCTGCAGGGGAAGTCGACATGAAAACCGGGTCCACAGAGCTGCTCGAAGGCATGGCTTGACGATAGATGTTGAACCCTCTTATTTCGAGATACCCCTTTGCACTGATCAAGATTCGGGTACTGTGGAAATGGTGGCGTGGCCATTTCTCTTGCCGAATGTTTTAGCATCTCCGCTGAATTCGTGAAAACAGTTTCTCTTGATTTAATCAGTGTTTCTGGAAAGTAGTTGGGTTAAAAGTAATGTAACATATGTATAATCCCCTTTACGCAATATCCACAACAATACATAATAATACCGTATGCAGGTAATAAATATAGCTTCAATACTTCCACCATATAAATATATATATATATAAAGATATACACATGCGTGTGCGCTTTTTTGGAGGCCAACATCTGCAGTACAATCTGCTTCTGTCAGTTTAATGAAAGCTATGCAAAAATAAAATGGCATCATATGTCTTTTTACATATATATATATGAATGAATATTGATATATATATATATATATGCCCGTTCAAACCCACAGTGATACCACTGATGGTCCCAGGTAAGGGCAATGGTGAGTCATGGCTTTCTACGATTACTTGGTGATCTACAACGCTTGGAAGGTTACTGGAACCAATTGCTCCGGGACTTCCCTGAGCACCCTGCCCGTGGGAAGGAAACTCGATCCATCCCTTTGACACTATATGGTGCCCCGTCCCAAAAAAAAATCCTTTACTATATTTTACTATGTTTGGGTGTGCCATTAGTGGGTATACTATATTGTACAATTATATATATATATATATTTATGTATCAAGTCTTGATTGCCCTTAGACCCCAATAAAATATCTGTAGTTATATAAGTTTTCTTGGCCTGTGTTTAAGACCCCTTAGGTGATGAGGGGAATGCTCTTGGGGGCAGCTGGATGACCTTTCATTTTCAGCCCGATCTGAGCCCACTGCTCAGCAATAGTGCCTGCAGCCGGTATCTGATCACCACAGTGCCTTCTTCCATGTGCCTAGTCGAACATGAAAAAGATAGAAAATCGATGTCATCCAATTAATCACCTCATTGGACTTTTTTGTTTTCAACATCGACCCAAGAGGGAATGAAATAGATCACCATGTTGTGTTTGACCACTGGCTGCCAAGGTATGTCTACGATGAGGATGGAGTGAATGTCACTCTACAGGCAGTTGGCGCCATTATCCGGGACTCCATCAACGATCTTGGAACACGTGGATGTACGATTCGGGATGAGTCTGGTGACACTGCATCTTTTTTGCGGCATAGCCCAAACAATGTTTAGGGTTGTTGGGTCCTTTTCCTAATAAAGCTCCCAATTCAGAGCTGCAAATCAAAAGTTCATTTCCCCACAAGACAACAGTTGCATCACTGAGGTATTGGATCTTCAATTCTATCTGGTTAATTTCAAGGGTGATTGGAAATACATTAGCCAACTCTTCTGCCTGGAACGGTATGCAACTCGGGAGGAGGCCTGGGTGATCCAAACCATCTCATTTAGCGCCACACCATCGCATAGACCTGGGAAAATGTTTTCAAATTTGTTTGGGAAAGCAAGACCCTGCATCCCCTCAAGGTGTGCTGGAAATGTATGGCAACAAAAGGTACTAGTGATGAGAGCTGGTCCTATAGCAATGTTAGTGACGATGCGCCATGGAGATCAACAATGTATTCCCAGCTCCCATGGCCCAATCATGTGGTGCCATCACTGACAAGCGTATTGGGCTTCTCACTCAAGATGATTGGTGTAGATGTTCTTCATATCTGGCATCTAGGTGTGGGGAGGGACCTCTGTGCAAGTGCCATACGCATCCTTGCCTCCAAACGTGGTTACTGGAGAGGCCGTAACCAGGAAGAACGGTTGAAGACTGCCACAGAGATTGAAATGGTATGCGAAACAGAATCGCCATTCTCTGGCGTTGTCAAAGCTCTCCAAACAGAGTCTCTCATGGAAAACAGATGCATTCCCAGAACTCAAAGCGAAGGGATATGATTGCTTCGTTGTACTTCGATGGCTGGTGTGGGAAGCTGGAAACAAAGATATTGGCAATGACACTTTGGCAACCGATACTTATGCTTGGTTTAAGACGAAAATGTTGGGAAACAAATTCATTCGATACCCGAAAATTGTATGTTTCTTTTATCAAACCTATTTGTTTTTTTAGCCTGTCCGGGTCCTTTGCTGAGGCACTATGGAGTGCTGACTGCTGGTTGAATCTATTGGCAAAATCCAGTATGTTCTTGAGCGACCTTGAAGAATCAAACCGGTTGACATTGGGAAGATTGATGATCAACACATACGCATGTCTTGCCACACATGCTGTTGAAAACAAACAATTTCTGTTCCGGCTTCGGCCAAAGTTTCACTTGTTGCACCACCTGACCATCGACACAAGACCCTCAAATCTAAATTCGAACATCCACGCCACGTGGATTGATGAAGATGGTGTTAAAAAATGGATGAGGATCAAACGGCAAGTCCATAAGCGGACCGCCACAATCAGTGTTATCCAGCGTTTTGTCTTGGGACTCCGAACCACTCTGGCACGGGGCATGGAACTTGCCCGGTCGAGCCAATGAAGGAAAAAATGCTGGGCACAGGCGCAGGGTGATTCCCAGACTTTCATGGCACTCGATCTCTTCCACCTTAAAGACTGGTTTGGAAATTGGAACGCCCCGTGTTTCTGGGGAAGTATATTTAAAACCCAGAAAATGTTCCCTGGTTGGTCTTCAGTGGGATCTAGAATTTTTCATATACCCCAAACAGTTCTGGGATGCCTAGACTAGCCATGAACATATGTTTGTTGGATTGCTGAAGGACAGTGACCCATCCAAAAAAGGGTACAAACAATTTCTTACCCAAAGATTGTGGGGACAATATTTTTGAAAACCCAAACCAAAACATAATATGTTCAGACATGTGTATGTACAAATATATGTAAATATTTGTATATAGATATATATATATATATTTATTTATTTATATTTATATATATGTACATACATATATACATAAACATACAGACTTTTTTTTTGGCCCAAGCGCTGCGGGTAGAATGTCTGAACAGGCAGGCATCCTTTTCTCTCTGTTGTGTTACAGCATGCTGCCTCTGAAAAGGCATTAGCCAACATCACAGATGGTGCCAGCAACACTGCTTGCTGGAAGGGAGGGGCATCCCTATATGGCTCAAGTTCACATTGTGCCAGCCAATTTTGAAGCTGTTGACACAACAGTTTAAGGATTGGATTCATGTCTTCTTGGATCTTGACAAGATTTATTTGGCGAAGGAAAAATATCAGCCATATAGAGCGTGAAAGTGCGTGAGAAAATTGTAGCTTGGCCCTATCTGGTTCGAATGACCATATGTACCAGATAAACGGGTACAAATGGCACTCTAGGCATGATCAGTCTGGACGAATGCCTTTCGAGCACTCTCACGCCGGGCCAATTGCAATCGGAACTGCACTCCTTGGGCCGACTCTGAATCGGCAAGCATGTGGGCAGGCAAAAGTTCGTCACTGCAGTTGGAACCTGGCAGCCTTGTCTGCTTACCTAACACAAGGATTTCCGGCGAAAAACCCTTTCGGATGCTATAGGCATTTTTGGCCTGAACACACCACCAAAGCCCTTGTTTGAGGTCATGATATGTGTGTACTGCATGTTCTGACTCGTACTTGGTCAACATGGATTGTAGTATGGATCCGTGTCTTTCGGCCTTGCCATTTTGGAAATGAGCTTCTGTGCTGATGGTCGTCATGTGGATATTGTGTGCCTGTGCAAAGTTGGTGACTTCTTCAGAATTGAGTTCTGTGCCGGCATCTATGACCATCTCATGAGGTGTACCGGCCCACATCAACCAAGACTGTAAAAAGCATTCAAGGAAAGCATCGGCCGCACGTGATGGGGCTATGCTGGCAACCTGAAAGCTGGTGGCACTGTCCACAAAGTGATAAACATGAAACCCTTTGCCTTGAGCATTTGTCCAAGTGAAGCCATCCACATGAATCCTGTGATTAAAATCCAGTTCATCCCTCAGGTTTCCAGGTGCACCCGGCTTTGGCGATTGCTGTGCTTGGCACACTGAGCATTTCAGCTCCAAGGCTGCACGCGCTACTTCAGGTCGGAATCCCTGCTGACGGAGGATACTGCTGAATTTTTCGGCATGAGGGTGGCCCAAGTTCTTGTGCGCTCTGATCAAGGCTTGTTGTTCTTCCTTGGTGAGGCTCTTGAAATGTGCTGATTGATTAACCATCTTCAAATCCGCCTGCTGGGATTCAGTCATGTCTCCGATTGGATTGGGACTTGCGGCCGGTGCGGATTCGGAGTCCTTCGCCTCCGATGCACTGGGCCTTTCGGCCGGCGGGGCAATCACTGAATTGGGTGCAGTGGGGTCAGTGGGATCTATCCGAGATTCACTGGCCTCGGGAACAGTTGGATTGCAAGCGAAGACTGTCATATTCAATTTGCACGGATGGGAGGCTCGAATAAGCTGTCTTTTGGAAAGGCTTTCCCAAGATTCCCATGATTCATCGGCCTTATGCTTACCAGTGTTACGTTCTATGAACACACATCTTCGATAAGGGGCTTCACCTTTCATGAGATCCTGTGGTGGTGCAATAGTCCGATTGGTTCCTCGGCATACGATGATTCTGCGAATCTCTTTGTCTTCCATGAGGCTTTGAACTTGAGATATGATTTGAGGGTCTGTGACTTCCATCTTTCCCACTCGGGGTGCTGTTCGTTGGAATTCCAGGAAAATGGTCTGCCATTGTTGATTGACGTTAATTGGTGTAGTTTTGGTGGAACATTTTATGCGTTTACCCCATGGTAGTTGATCTACATCCCGTGCACGGCTGACCTTCAGTCTTGCCTGTTTGGCCAGTCTCTGGCGCTTTGGAGCTCGTTCGCCATGGTCGGATTCATTGGCTAGAGTCCATGCCCAGAGACATTCCTCTTGCTGCAGTAGGTGAGGCAATTCACGGGGCTTTCGAATGCGACACAAACTCTTGGCCAGCTTGCGAGCAAACTTTCTGGGATAATTTTCAGAAAATGATGTTCTGAGCACCGTCTTGCCACCTACCTTGCACGACCCTGCGATCTGCTGGTGTGGATGTGAACCACGGCATTTCAGGCCTTCAAGCTCTTGACACAAACTTTGGCATGATGTCATGATGGTTAACGCCTTTCGCATGTGGTTCTGGGTGTCAGGGTCTCGCAAGTCACCTGCCATGCAAAGGTCAACTTCCAGCGATAGCAACATTTGTCGAATCTCTTGCATGTAGGGGAGTTTGAACATGTGAGAGTTCTGTGGCTGTTCCCAGTGGAAGTGGTTTTTGTGACTCCTTTGATATCTCATGAGGACAATACCCAAAGCTATTTGATCGATGTGTTGAAGTCGGTTATTTTGGAGGGCATCCCATGCTTCAAGAGACTTACTTCCATTCAGATTAGACCAACTGCTCCACGGACCACATTTTGGGGAATACCAGACATGTTTGGGCTTATGTTTTGTTAATACCTTGAACAGGCGCTGGCGACCTTCTGAGGTCTGCAGATCTCCTTCGGCAAGCCCAAAACGCATGGCTCGGTGTCCCATCTGTTGACACCGGTGTGTCAGCTGGCTTGATGGTCCGCAGAAAACTTCCAAAACATCGATCTTGGTTCCCCCGGGATTATCTTCAAGAATAACTTGTTCCAACTCGTGAGATATTTGTGATATCAACTTGTTGAACATCTTCCGTTCACGGTTGGTTTCGGGAGTAGCATGATGAATATGTTCCTCATTCATCTCATAATCACCAGCCTGGATGGACTGAGCCCAGCTGGGGCATTGATCTACTGGGGCTCGGTTGCCGGCTGGATGTTTTCCAGTGCAAGGAGAATCTGAGACAGGGCATTCTCCATGGACAGCATTCGGGCTTCCAATTGAGCCACATTTGGACTGGGACCCTCGGTGGCTGCTACTACACTCATGCCAGCTTCGATCTCGTCGCCGTACATCTCGAACTCCTCCATCTCTGTGGCATCCCACACTGAGATCGTTTCGTTCGGTGGTTGGGCCAGTTTCTGGGGCCACGCCTTGGCTTTCAGCTTCTCGATCTTCACACTCGATGGCACCCCTTTGTGGACAGGGATGCGAGTGCCTGACACATCGGCCCGTTCCACCATCAGTTGAACATAGTGGAGGATCTTCTGATGACTCTCCTTCCCTGATTTCTCGTACCTCCCGGCAAACCAGAGAAGCCACTCCTGATGGTTCAACCACATCTCGCGGTAAGTGCGACCCACATGGGCCTGTCCGAAATCCACCTTGGTCTCCTCTAACTGTGAGAGGCTCAGGTGACTGAAATCGAACTTGGCGGTTTCGCCTGGCACTTGGAGTTCCTTCAGGCGCTGGCTCAGGGAGGACATCACGGCGAACTCTGGGAAATCGAAAACTCTTGGCAAACGACACGTGTTTTGAGCTGCGAGGGTCTACCGGGTCTGTATATTCAGGACATGTTTCGGCTGATTGCAAAAATTCATCCAGGATGTTTGGGAAAATTTTGGAACCTGTCGGTGTTATTGAAGTCGATGTAGATTTCTCCCTGGGTGTGTCGGTTGTGATTGGCATGTCATGTGACGTGGCATGTTGTTGGTGATATGGGACATGTGTGCATGGCTCGGCTGCTTTGGATTCTGTACACGGCTTTGCACACGCTGTTTTGGTCTCTTCGGACACCTGATGAATCTCCGCGGCATGCTTGGACACGGTCGTATCCACGAGATCATTCAAATCCAAAAGAAACAACCCTCTATCTGTGAGCTGGATTGGAATCACCTTGTTGATCTTGGATGCAAAAATGGTCTTTTGGCTTGTGTCGATGATAGCACCAATAGCTCGCAATAGGGTGTTTGACAAAAGGAAAGGGGTTGACCCAGGCACTACTGCAACCTTTAACCATAACCCATGAATAGGTATTACCAAGGCTTGTTCACTTTGTAGTGTACCTTGATTCCCAAACCTAAAGGTAATGGCACATGGACACCTTCGGACAGCTTTTCGGGCTTCAGGGGATAAACCGTCTAAAAGATCTTTGACCAAATTGCTACCAATGACTGTCTTGGTTGCTCCTAGGTCAACTACCCCCATGCTGCTGTACGTTGCAAACATTGCTGCGTGTTCCGTCAAGGAACCTTGGTCAGGTCTGGTGCATGGATTGGCTGCCACAGGCTCTGGCTTGACTGTCGACCAGGACGTCGAGCTGTCTTGCACATCATGGGGCCTGGGCACGGCTGCAGTGGTTTTCGATGTCAACCATCTTTGAATTGATCTCTGGAGTCTATCCTTGGATTCCATTTTATCAACCCTTTCGGAATGGCAAACAAAACATTGGCTAACTGATGCTAGAGGTACATCTACGGCTTCTTCAAAGGCTGGCAGGTTGAGAAACTCTAGTGGCAGACCTTGCGCCTCGCTCTGCACTTGGACAAAGGACGTAGGAGCTTGAGGTCTGGAGGCTCCTGTGGCATCGTTCCTGCTAGGACATTCGGCCTTCCAATGGCCCATTTTTCCACAGATCCTGCATGTGGAGCTAAGGATCCTCTGCTGCAGTGTTTTGCGGCTGGAGTTATGTCCCTTACTGAACTTACCCTTTACCCCGCGGTTAAACCCTTTGGACTTACCCTTGGAGCTTTGAGACAGGGGCCAGAAACCACGTGATTTCACTTTCTCACTTAAGCGCCTGCGCGCCTCAGTGTACGCATTCAGCGCACTCGCCAGCTCTTCATCTCCTTGAAGCACATCAGAGGCCGCCGTCTCAAAGTCGGCGATCAGGATGGCGTCAGCGTCGCCTTCCAGTACCAGAGCATCAATCATCTCGTCTTCATTGATCTCCTCAGGAACTTCGGCAAGCAAAGCCTGTGAGGCTTCCTCATCGTCTTCCATTTGATCCGCAACCATGGTGCTAGCGTCATACGTCTTCAGTTTTCCAGTTTTCTTTCCAGATGTAATCTCATGAAAGAACCCTGCACCAAGCATGCGAATTGCTGATGATACCCTTGGCAAAGTCAGCTTGCCATCAGTGCTCACCTGGCTGTCAATCACCACACGTTTTTTGTCCTCCGCACTGAGATTGGAACCCCTCAGAGTTATGTATGCCTGCAGTTCTTCCAGCTTGATGTCCTTGTTCAGAAGCTCTTGCCACAGCACATCGGCCCTTGCAAGATAGCTATCATTTGTCTCATCTTGTCGCTGGACACATCGGAACAAGGCTCGTTCCGCTGATTCATACTTTTTCTCCAGAGGTATTTGGCCCCATTGGCCGCCCAACAGTTCAATGATCTGTTGTATGGACTTCTTCTCATTCACGGTAATCTCAGCACTTTTCAACTGCAGTTTCTGAAAAGCAGATCCTGTACAGCCTAAGATCAAACGAGTTGCCAGTTCTGTCCACTTGCCCTCCGGCCACATATTCATAAGCAGCTGCACCTTCTTCGTGTAGTCGGTGAGGTCATCTTTGGATGGGTCAAATGTTGGTACCAGGCTTGCAAGTTGATTGGGCACAAGAGTGCTGGAGGTTCCTTCAGCACCGTCAGATGCTTCAGGCATCTCTCCACCTCCAAAACCACCTCCCTGGATACTCAGCTAGGGGAGCAGAGCTGAGCTCCGCTACCAGTGTGAGTGGTTGGAACCTCACACTGGCAGCTGCAATCTCCGGATCCACCTCCAAAAGGCGAAAGTGACTCGCGGCCTTTTTCCCTTCACGGCACACAAGTCCTGAGCAGCACGAATAGAGACAGGCAGTCTCTTCCCAGCAACGGCTATGGTCCTTGGACCTCCAGTGAAATGGGTAATCCACCCAGCTAAGAATGGCCCCTGGCCAAAGAACAGTGAAGCGGCCTCGCTTCCAAGCTTATGGCTCAGCACGGATGATTTCCCACCCACCTTCAACCCTGGGCCCTCCGGAGCCACGTGTGCTTTGGAAAACAAGTGCTGTGTAAACCCCGGGTTTTTTGGTAAACATCCTTTATGGGTGGTTTCTTCCATGACCCCGCAATGATGTAGAATCACAATATATATACATATTCATGGCAAAATGGCCTTCTAATGGGACACATGATGATTAAACAGTGGATGAAATATACATAGTGGATGTTCAGACCCGGATATAGCCAATTCCCGCTAAACGTTCTTCAACTCGTTCAATGTGACGACGCCCCACCAATTGTATATGTGTGCTGGTTTACGTTGCCCCCCATCTACCATAAACAGTTCTTTTTACCATCGTCTCAAACTTCAATCAGTTATCATCAACTATATAAATCTGAGAATATCATTATAATTCCTTGAATCACTTATTTATATTTATTTATTATATGTATGATATGTCATCATCAAGTCATGAATCAATCCCCATGTTTTTCGATGTTCCTGAGCCCGGAGCTCAGGCAATGCCTGGGAGTTGATTGTGTCGTTATGGCCTCGTGAGGCCTCACACCAGGCCCAGTTTTGGTGAAACGCAGACTTTTCAGGAGTGAATTACCCTCTGGTAAACTAACATAGCTGTGGAAAATCACTATTTTTAATGGTAAATCCACTATAAATGGCAATTTTCAATAGCTATGTTAAATAAACATAGACCCTGAAAATCACCAATTGTAAGAGGAAACTAGTCTTCCAATTCCTATCTGCCAGGGTCTATGTTAATTTACTGGAGGGTAAAATCTGCAAAAATCTGAAACCAGAAATGAAACCATCATTTCCGCAGAAATCTGGGGTTAGAATGGTTTCCTTGCTCGAAAAATGCTGGTTGAATCTTGCTTCAATGGTGATTTGGATTCATTTAAGATCATTTAAGCTAGGTCATGTTCATTAACCAAATCTGGGGTTACTAAGATGTTGTCACCTGGAAAAAAAATGTCTTGAATGAACATATTTGAAACCACGAATCAGTAGTCTCAGTATATATCAGTATATATTGGTTTGTATAATTTAGCAACTCCCAAAAAGAAATCAAAAAGATAGAAGCAATTGATGGTCAGATCCAGTTCTAGAAAAGTGCCAGACTCAGACTTGGCTTTGGCAGTTTGGCAAGTAATACTGGGCTATTGGTTGATTGGATGATCGCAGTGGTCCTTTTCCCACTAGTTGATTCTTCAGGGTTGTCGTGTTTGTGCATCATGGCAAACCTATATACCCTGGATTTTTTGTCGCTGACAGGTGACACTGAAGTCAATGCAACAGGTGTAGATGGGGATCGACATCATTGACCCCCCTGGCCCTAGCGGATGGTTTTTTTGTCACCAACTAGATACCACGTCGCGGAATGGGTAGTCCAAAAATATAGTAACATATGGTAACCCTACATCCACAAGTTCGTTGCCATTATACAAGCCTCATCCATTATCCCCTAAATAAAAAATAAAATAAATAACATTCCCTCATTAATCATTATCATTGTCATTATCATTATCATATATATATATATATACATACAGTATACATGCATATATATATATATAGCATTATCATGATCATTCCAAAAGAGTAAATGACGAAGCCAGGGCTGTGCCCATCCTGTGAGGGCCGCATTGCCTTTGCTGCCTTTGGTTTGGTCATCGGCAAAGCCCTGGCCATTTTAGCACCCTTGCAGCAGCTCGGCTCCACTGGGCTTGAAATTGAGTGGGTAAATGGCACATGGAAGTAGAAGATCAGCTGTTCCAATGGAACAACAAAAACACATCTACAAGTGGGTTGGAGGATGCTGAGAGGGCCAGTAGAATTACCAGAAGGGGTATATTTTTGAATATGGTGGATGAGTTCAATGCAGCATGGTCATGCCTCAATTTGCTTCTCTTTCTCTCAAAATCCCATGGAATTCTCTCAAGGAATGAGAACAGGCTTCATGGAAGTTGCTTATACGCACAAGTTGCAGAAACTTGGTATGAACTTGACAATCAATTCCTTTAAGATGATCAAATGATGCGGGTGCAACACTGGCGTTTCACATCTATGTATATTGTCTGTGAAGATGAGATGAGGGAACACGACTATCATCCATTGGAACTGGGGGTTCCATGGGGGTAGCCTATTTAATAAGACACAACAAGACACAAATATGATAATTATATAATTGTATCGCCAGTAATATTGGCCCCATCAGATACATTCACCACGATTTGCTGACTTTCAGCAAATATCCCCATTTGTAGGACGGTGGTCTGAGAACATTGGTGTTTGCCCTCCTAGAATTCGACAAGTTGCGTCAAGCACCCTTTAGTTGATTTAGTTAATGGCAAAAACCATAGTTTCCTCCAGATTTTCACAACAAATAGCCTTAAATCCCTAAATGGTTCATTCAACTGCTGGCATATTGTCACATCAAATAGCATTTCCAACAATCATTGGGACCTTGCGAGGTAAAGCAAAA